CAGAGAAGGCAACGGAAATAAAAACATTACAAACGCCATTCTCTCCTCYCGTCCTTCCCCGGAGTGGGCCGAGCAATCCCACAAAGGTAATAATTGAGCAAATTAAAAAGGAAATAAAGAGATGTATAGAAGAAAATGCAATGGAAGAAATTAGTCCGACTATTCTGTGGGACACATAAATGCAGTAATAAGAGGAAATATAATAGCTGTAACATCCCAACAAAAGAAACCAAAACAAGCAGCTTATCTGGACTTGACTGAAAAATTAAAAAGCCTGGAAATAGAATATCAAAACACTAAAAAAAATCCAACTCCTACAAAAAATGAAGACCACAAAGGGGGGTCCTCAGGCTACTAGACTACTGGCAAGGCGAATAAGGAAACAACAGGTCCTAAATACGGTACACAAAATCAGAGAACGGCCTATTTAAAATATGCGGTGACAGAAATAGAAAATATATTCAAGGAGTACTACAAAAACCTACATACACAACCACCCTCATCTAATAAGGAGGCAAAAAGACAGTTTCTCAACTCACTCGATTTACCAGCTAATGGGGAAATACAAATCAACAACCTTGCAGCTCTTATAACACCTTAAGAAATATCCAATGCCATATCCAATCTTAAAGCTAATAAAACTCCTGGAGGAGATGGTTTTCCATCGGAATGGTACAGAACTTTTAAGGAGGATCTGATAACTCTCCTTACAGCCACTCTTAATTGGACTCTTAAAGAAGGTCACTTACCACCATCTTGGAAAGAGGTAATAATATCAATAATTCTTAAAAAAGGGAAAGATACAGAATACTGCAACAATTGTAGACCAACTTCAGTTCTTAATGTAGATTACAAGATATATACAAACATCATAGGACACAGATATGGGAAATTTATAAATTACCTTATTGATGAAGACCAAAATGATTTTATTACAGGACGCCAAACATAAGACAGCATTAGGAGGACTGTCCATATAATTAACACATTACAAGTTAATATAAACAGTGCTGTTTGTCTCGATTCGATTGTCCCTTCGATTGTGTCAATTGGAACTTCCTAAATTTAGTATTAGAACGATTTGGATTTAATAAAAACTCAGATAATTGTATTAAAACCATTTATCAAAACCCTACAGCCAGAATAAAAGCTTAACGGAAAGTATAAGGTTAGGAAGAGGTACCCATCAAGGATGCTGCCTATCCCTGCGTCCTTTTTGCACTATATATTGAACCATTAGCACAGGTGATCAGACAGAGTGACAAAATAAAGGAATTAATATTAAAGGACAGGAACATAAAATAAGCCTATTTGCGGATGATATTATGATATATCTGGACAACCCTGATACAAATCTTACTCAGCTGATGCATCTTATACATACATTTGGCAATCACTCAGGATATGAGATAAATGTAAATAAAACACAAATTTTGGCCATTAATTATGCCCCATCGCAAGAAATCCAAAGAGACCACCAATTAAATTGGCAATCCAAAACTATAAAATATCTTGGGGTGACTCTTACCAAACAGATCACTCACCTTTATAAAGCAAACTATGATCAGATCCATCACCTGATAGGTAAGGATATAGAAAGATGGTCAACTTTGCCATTAGATCTCAACTCAAAGTTAAAGTAATTAAAATGAACATTTTCCTAAAACTACAATATTTCTTTCTCTCTCTGCCTATTAAGATTCCACAAGACAAGTTCAAAACCTGGGACAAAATGATCACCAGATTTATTTGGAATGGTAAAACACCAAGGATAAAATACAGTACTCTACAAATGGAGAAAGATAAGGGGGGTATGGCACTTCTAAACTTGAAAGACTATTATCGCAGTGCACAACTTGGACCATTAGTCAAGTGGTGTGACAAGGATTATAGTGCTAGGTGGAAAGACATTGAGAGGGTGGTGGCAGATATTCCAACCCAATCCCTGATTGGCAATTCTAAATTAATGAAGTCATTACAAGAGTCGTTAGATCCAATAACTTTGCACACATTGAATATCTGGTTTGATTTTGTCAAACAATACAAAATAGGAGGAGACATAAAACAGATAAGTTGGTTTGCATATGATGACAGATTTAAGCCAAGTTTAAGTGAGCACAACTTCAGGGACTGGGGTAGGAAAGGGCTCACAGCAATGTGTATAGGACATCTTATGAACTTCCAGGATAAGGAAAAGCAGTTATGGATCAGAAAACAGAGACCATTTCAGATACCTGCAGTTGAGGGATTCTTTTGTGAAGGAAATACAAACTGTAAAAACCTTGAATGGTGTAATTGAGTTAATGATTAAGACATACAGTGGCACCAAATAACAAGCAGTTTCACTGCTGTTTTGAAACATCAGAGACTCCTCTAGCTACCTCTACTCTCTACATTAAGGAGAAGTGGGAGAAGGAAGTGAATATCAATATTACTCTAGAAGAATGTCAGAATATGTGCAAAACACAACACACAAGTTCAAAACTATGGAGGGAATTTGGATGGAAAAACCTGACCCGCTACTTGATTACACCTAAAGAGTAAACAAACTGGTTGCCCACATACATGTTGACGGTTATGTGGAGAGAGAAGCAAATCATAAAGACATCTTCTAAACTGAAAGTAGAGTGATGTACCTTGGAATGTAGGATGACTACGTCCTGGACAAAGATAAGTATCTAACTATATTATTGATTACATGTAAAAAAGCATTAACACGGAACTGGTGTGGGAGTGAACCACCTACTATAACTCAGCGGTTAGAAATCTTGAGAGGTATATACCATGGAAAGAATGACCTACAAGCTAAGAATTAAGAAAATGTTTCTATATCAAAATGGGAGAAATGGTTACAGTATGACACAGAGAAGAATACTTGAAACATGACTGATTATGATTTATGTACAATATATTTTGAAAATGGATGCAGATAACCATGCCTACTATGCCTTGTCTTTTTCGTTGTTTTATTTTCCATTTTAACACACTCTCCTTGTTTAAATTGTAAAACCTACAAAACCTCAATAAAAATCTAAGTTAAAAAAAAAAAGAAATCTAATGGACATGTAAAAAAAATGTATACAGCTATTTTATTACATTTTGAAATAGAAATGTTGATGTGGTAGAGTTTCAAGAAAACAATGTGCAGGTAATATAACACTGTCTGTGACATCAGCACTCATCTGTCTGTGTCTGTGTTGCTCAGGCTGCTTCCAACTTAGAATAAAATGATATCACAAGCAAAAAAAAAAAGAGAAACATCACCATTCATAGAGGATTCTTTGGAGAAAAAATTCTGATTTGTGTTTTTTTGCAGTTTTACAGTAAAGGTTGTAAACAAACACGAAAAATGTACGCCTTTAGGTATTTGGATTTCACAATGTTAGCTAACTGTCAAGCTTTGAAGATAAGCAACTCCTTGCAAGGAAAGGAGAGATATAGATTCTCATTGAGGGGAATGATAAACCTTTGTCAGCTGCTGGAGCTGAACATAATCAACCTGACACATAAGAGCGATGTGCTGTGGGGACCTACTATTTGTGCTCCATTTTGAACTTGAACTTTGAATTCACTAACTCACACAATGGGTTTATTCACATGTTGAGTCAAACCAATTGAGTCCATTATTGAGTTAAAGGTCCAGTGTGTAAGATTTAGGAGAAAAGGAACTATTGGCAGAAATTTAATGGAGAATAATCTGTATGATGTTTTCACTAGTTTGTTTCATCTAAGTTGTATAAATTGTAGTTTTCTTTTGCCCAGAAAAGGCCCTTTATATTTAAATACTTTATATTTACATCAAGGGGGTCCTCTCTACTGAGGCTGCCACTTTTTTACATTAGTCCAGACTGGACAAACAAAACACCTTTTGAGTTTTTATGACTATTAAAGGCTACCACAGGTTCTTTTTCATGTTTGGAAGGAGAGGGTGAGGTGAAGGGTGTTCAGCTGCAACATGCAATTTCAACACTCGATATCGCAAAATTCTACACACTGTACCTTTAAATGCTGAACTAAGGCTGTCGTTGGCAACATCTACATGAATGTTGAAATCACTTACTATAATGATTATATCTGTCCTAAGAATTAGATCTGATAGAAATTCAGAGAATTCAGATAAAAATTCAGAGTAAGGGGCAGGCGGACAATATGTGATAACTAGATGAATTGGTTTATGTGATTTCAGGCTTGGATAGATGAGGCTGATTATAAGATTTTCAAATGAGTTTTAACTATCTTTTGGTCGAGGGTTGATAGATAAGTCAGATTTAGAGATTGCTGCCACCTTTCCACCTCTGCCTGTGGTAGGAGTATGAGTATTAGTATGGGTGGGGGCGCGTTGCTTCATTTAAACCTAGGTTACAGCCAGGTTACAGTAAGAAATAGTTAATTAATTTGATGATCAGTAATCAGATCATTAATAAGTAAGGATTTTGGATTGAGTGACCTGATAACTAATAAACCGCATTTTATATTTCTGTTTTTTGTTACTGATATATTGATTGTGCTAATTTATATTAGATTTGAATGTATTACTCCACTCCTGTTTACATTGGATTTAATGAATTTAGGTGGTCGGGGGGCAGACACAGTTTCTATGGGATATTGTGAGGGTGACTTTTCAAATAGAAGCGCAGAAAAGCGTGTAAGACTGCGACTTTGCCTTCTGGTCTAAACTCTGGATTGTCATGGTATGGACTGTCTAATAATCATTGAAATGTTTCTAGATACGAGAGCTGCTCCATCCCAAGTGGGATGAATACAATCTCTCCTAATCAGACGAGGTTTTCCCCAAAAAGTTTGCCAATTATTAAGCCCACGTTACATACATGCATGCGAAAACAAACAATCCTATAACTTTTCTCATTGCTCCAACTCTGCCTTCGCTTTCATCTCAACTAAAGAGCAGATAAAAGTTTTGTAGACTTTTGTAAGCTTTTATGACTTTATCTTGCGCACACACACTATTATGCATAAAAGCAACATTTAGAAAAAAAAAACAGAAATCAGAAACCTTTATTCAGCATAAAAGCAAACAACTTTTTTGTGGTAACAATTACAAGAGAAAGAATGGACATTAAAAGGTATGCCAGTGTGCTACATAATAGGCATCAATTTTAAAAACAACTTCAAAAGGTAAAACTCTCAAAGAATAAACAGAATGGCATTATTTTGTTTCCCCTTTTGGTCCTGGCATACTCAACCTTTTGACTTCTGTCCATAAAGAATCTCCTCACTGAATGAGTAAAATACTGTGTTCACCAAGCAATTTTGGGATTTGTTTTATAGAGACTGTAGTCTTCTTTCCTGAAAAAGGCCACTTCTGTTTCATTTGCTGAAACGACAAAATGGAACAAATATTAATATTTATTTTATACTTCAAGCAGCAGTTAATTTGATCATTTTATAATAATTTTATTGGACTCATTTTACTGGCTTTAGTATATCGTTGCAGGAAATTCTGAGCTTGTATTAATATCACTATTTAAAGGTACAGTGTGCAGAATTTTGTGATATCTAGTGCTGAACACTCCTCACCCTCCCCTTCCAAACATGAAAAAGAACCTGTGGCAGCCTTCGTTGTCATAAAAACTCAAAATGTGTTTAGTTTGTCCAGTCTGCACTAATGTAAAAAAAAATGGCAGCCTCCATAGAGAGGACCCCCTCGATGTAAATATACATATACACATATTTAAATATAAAGGGCCTTTTCTGAGGTAAAGAAAACTACAATTCATACAATTTGGATGAAACAAACTAGTGAAAACATCATGAGGATTATTCTACATTTCTGCCAATAGATCCCTTTCACCTAAATCTTACACACTGGACCTTTAAGTAAGTTACTGTGGATTTTCTCTCATATTATTTTGATTCTAGCAACCTGTCTGACAGAGCTGATGATTGTTACACAACTGTTCCAAGTCTCCCCCCCTCTCTTTCCTTCTTTTCCACCCACCTCCTCTCTTCCTCATTTTTCTCTGCTCTCCCCAACCAGTCGAGGCAGACGACCTTCTGCTTTTAGTCTGGTTCTGCTTACTATCCAAAGTGCCTTGAGATGTTTTAATGTGGTGCTATACAAATAACATTGAATTTAATTAAACTATACAGTTTTCTCAATGAAAATTGAAAAGTCTTACCAACACCAGCAGTTCTAAGTGTTAGGCCATCTTGCAGAATTAGATTTTCATCGTCATCTAAACTCATCACCAGTTCATTAGTCTGCCAATAGAAAACAAAATGTTATATCCACTTAAATGGCAACTTTGGATTTCGATGGACCAAATAATTATCTAACTATAGACATCTGACTTGCCCAAATCAGAACACTTGTGCCAGAAGCTCCATCAACAAACAGTATGTATGAACTTGGATGATATATTGATGGCTGATGTATTATTGGCGGGTAAGTAAGAAACAGAAATCATTGTACATGTTCTAATAGCAGAATTTGATCTGATAATAACACAAGACTGGTGCAGGATATTACTACCACTTACAAACTGGTTCTGAATGGAAATAATGGACATTTTCTTGTCTTTCTCTTCTCCTTTTCTTACACACAGGTGTGTGTTATAGGTGGCGCAGCTGTAACAGCAGGGAAGTAGCTGGACAGCAGGGCTAGGCCTCGTGCTGTGGGTAGGACTAGCTTCCCTGTCATCAGCAGCAGAGCTGCTTGCATCCTTTACAAAGTCACCCGATTGTGAGTGTTTAAAAGCAACACTTATGTAATGGGCTGACTTTCACAGATTTGCAGAAACGTTTCTTTACGCAGGGCTCCAGATAACGTTTTCATTTAGGTGAACCAGTGCATAGTAGGTCCCCACAGCACATCGCTCCTATGTGTCACGTTGATTATATTCAGCTCCAGCAGCTGACAAAGGTTTATCATGCATACGTTGCACCCAAAAATCTTCACAGCGCCTTTTAGCATTACAATAATACACCTATCAAACCTTTTCTTGATAGGTACATTGGTTCGATCACACCATGCCTCTGATCTCGCCAATTGAGAGAAGCTGTGTTGTGAATGAACCGTGTTCATATTTTTTGAACGAACAGTTAACATATGAGCAACGTTCATGTTAATTTTTTATGAAATACCAGGAGCGGGCAAAAATTTTTGTTTGTGCTCACGCACATGCCAGGCATCAGGCTGGAGTTTGTTTAAAATGAGAGCAGGTCAGAGTGGAAACTCATTTTAACTAATAAACACTCATCAGTTACTAGGACCTGATCAGTACATGAAGTAACTTAGTGATTGTTTGATTCAAGAGTTTATGAGGCTGCATTCAAAGATGAAATGACTCGTCAACATGTTGTGCTCAGTACAACATGAGATGTGACTAAAGAGCAGGACTCAGTGTTAAAGTGACTGGAGAGAAAGGGATTCATGTATCTACCCATTAAACATGTAACCTTAGCCATCATCGCAACAATTGTCCCAATGGGAAATTTGGCAGCAGCTGCCACTGATCGCGGTACTAAGACATCCCCAGCCATGTCTGCTTTTGTGAGGGGCTGCATTCAAAGGTTTAATACAATGGTGTCAAACTCAATCACAGAGGGCCAAAATTAAAAACTAGGACTACGTCGAGGGCCAAACAGGGTCAACAGGGTCATATATCGAACAGGATATGCAGGATATTGGATAATGTGCAAATGAAAAATATTTAGGTACGCATCTTCTTTTATTTATCTTTTTAGCCAGTTCATTAATGTTTGGGGTTAGGTTCTGTGCTTTGGAAACCCTCAAAATGGAGTGAAGCTGTGCATCAGCAAGACGACTTCTGTGTGGGTTATTGTTCATCTTCATCACAGAGAAAAATGTGTGTTGACGGGGCACAGACAGCAGCACACAGCCACTGGGATTTTTTGAACACTGGAAAAATAATTTACTAGCAACAAATAGTCAGCAGGTGAGGAGGGGTGCTTGATCCGTTTGAGTCTACATTGCGAACCATGGCTCAGCCATTGGAGCCCGTGCATGCCGCCTGGCTCTCTGGCCAGAGTGACATGGAGAGAGAGATAATCCTGAGAGACACGGTGAAGTTGAAGGGGCAGGCACTGGGATCTCTGTAACGCTAGAAAAATAATTTAAAATCAGCGAACACTCGGCGAATGAGTGGAGAAGATTGCTCGCATTTAGCCGGGCTTTGCGCACCCTGGCTCGGCCTATGGAGCCCATGCACGCTGACTGGCTCCCACTTGGTGAGTGGAGAGGAGGGCTCACCCGCTCCATGTGTGTTTAGTCAGGCATTGCGCACCGTGGCTCGGCCTGTGGAGCCCGTGCAAGCTGCCTGGCTCCCACTCGGCGAGTGGAAAGGCTGGCTTGCTCGTTCCTGTGCGAGTTGGGCCTTGCAGACCGTGGCTTGGCCTATGGAGCTTTTGTTTCACAAAAAAAGCATGTGTCCTATTTACTGGACCAGTGGGCCTGTGGGCCTTGAGTTTGACATCTCTGGTGTCTGGTCATACAGTACCTGCAAAATCGACGGCATTGGTAAGATCCATACATCAATATACAATATACAATATAAAAATATAAAATGTCCTAATTAAACAAAACAGTAATAAAATAAACCACATACAACCTAAACAATAAATAAAATGGACTCTCTGGCTCTGAATAAATTGCTCTAGAATAAACATTAAACATTTGGCACAGGATATATGTTCCCAGCTCTGTTAACAGGATGGGATGGTTATGATTTAGATGAGCTTTTAACTTTGTATTGTATTAGGTTAGGTTAGTATTCGAGCACTCCATGTGGGATTGTATGTGTGCCTGTCTGCCCTTGTCTGTCAGAGTGTGTGTGAAGAGAGACAATCACATGAATTGTGTTATTAATCAATGGTGTTGCATCATGAATCTGGATCGTTCCAGTCACTTAAACTCTGATGTCCCAGCTTTGTGCTTCTTGTGTTCTATGTAGCAGAGAGTGCGCACAAAATGTTGGACTTTTTTTTCAAATGAGTGTCTCATAAACTCTGGCGTTAATCAAACAATCACAAGTATATGTCAGTACTGTTCAGATCCTGATAGCTTGTGATGAGTGTTGGTGGTCATGGTTTAAGTGTAAAGTCAGTGCAGGTCAGCATGAGTGTGGATGGAGAACACTCTGAGATTCTGACAGAGTACAAACCAACTGCTGATTCTGCTCTGATCCTGAGAGAGCGGTGCTAATCCTTTTGTTTTGGCAGTCCGCCCGAGGACTGTGTGTGTGTGTGTAAACGCCGCAGAGAAGAGGAAGCGACGTGATTCAATGAAATACAGACACACAAGCTTAATGTTTGGTGTGACCAAGGAAAATTGTAGTTGCACTTCATAGATTGTAAATGGTAGTACTGTGGAGCCCTGATTATGACTGTGTTGGACAAGTTACTGAAAACTAGTTATTGTCTTCCAACACTTTCCAAATTGAGACCCACTAGCACACTATGGATTTTTTTTTTCTTTCGTCAGAATGGAGTAATATGAAGATGGTTGAAGAAGTATAATTGTTGCATTTGAGTAAATGTATTAAGCACAGCTAAGCTGGACTAGTAATGTTAATAAATATGCTGCAGTCCCAGCTGTACACTAATCTTCCCATCCTCTGTACTTTAAACTCAAGATTCAATTTCCTTGGTACGCAAGATTGGCACTGTGGCCTCAATGTTTATTAACAACTTGCTGCGTGTAAGGTCTAGTTGTACTTCGGCGCATGCGAGTCACATCAGGGCCATAATCAGTTGGAGTCACCAGTTGGAGTCTAATTCTTGCCACATAAGATAATATGAAAAGCTACATAAAAACATTGGATCCTCCCAAAAAATCAGAATTGAGCACCAAGGCTTGTGGTGTGAGCATTACTGAGGTCCAATGGAGTGATGGATAGATACCTTTGCACCATGTGCTTGGTGGATTATCTTCATCGTGTCTGAAAAAAAAGTTAAAGAAAAATGAAAAGCATTTTGCACAAGGCAATACAGTGAATCTCTGGTATACATATATACCAGAGATATACTTGTCCTCTCATTTATGCGCCTCTCTGATCACTCGAATACCTTTTGGCTGTTAGTTATGTAAATCAAGGAAACAACTGTATTAATTCAGGTTAATTATTACTTGTGAAATATGCAACTGTTGTTTGTTTTTTGCTTTGATTGCTACAATATCTAACTCTCAGACTAACAAGGACAGCCTGCAAATGACATTCACTCTAAGCAGACCTCACAATATGTTGCTTCGACAAACGGTCTTAAAAACTACATTACAAGTTCAGAGAAAATACGGAATATTATTACATAAAATCACATACCAAAGGCATAGCTCCGGAAAGGCGGGGGAATTCCTGGTCTTGTTACAATATCTGGAAGATTTTAGGGACGTAATTTATATCTGATGTCGTATTATATGTTGTGATATGATGCATCCTGCTCCATTTTACTCACCGTCTCTGACCAGCTGTATGAAGTCCTGCACCGTCTGGTCCAAGCTGACCCCGTGAAAAACTACTGGTTTGAAGTTTCTGTGCTCGAATGACCGGACCAGACGAACTGTGACCACGGCTTGATTGGCCATGCTGCTGAACACCACGCGACCGTGCTTATAATGCAATTTTCGCTAACCGATTTCAAACAGTTAAGTTATTTTGAAAGGATGTGTTTAGCATGTGTTATAAGACTGCTTTCCGGGTATGGCCAGAATAGTCGATAATGATCAGTATTTAAGACTGAAAGAGTCGATAACCGAGCGCTCTTTGGATTGCCTCTTCTTTATTGGAGGTTGGTAAATCAGCTCATAGGTGCATTACCGCCACCTTCTGGACTGGAGTGTAGATCGGCAGTAAACAAATAAAAAAAAAATCTTTCCTTAAGTCCTGTTTCTCTTAGTAGTTATTCAGAAGATTATGTAATTATTTTATGTCTTTCCTAACATATTTTTTAATGCTGATATTAATTTCTTACTTTGTTCATTATATTTGTTACATTCTATCAGTACATGACTTTCCGGTTGTTTGCAGTATTCACAGAGTCCAGTTGGGTGCTTGCCTATTGTATGAAGTGTATCATTTAATCCTGTATGACCAATTCTCAGACGGGTAATGACTTTCTCTCTTCTGTTCTTCTCACCAGTGCCTACATGTTTTTGATTTCGTACAAATGTCTTCCTGTGTCATTTAAATCCCAGTCCCTGTCTTCTTCTCTCCACCCACTGCAATGCAAACAGAATACCCAGTAGTTCTGCTGTATATACTGGCAGGTGGTCTGAGACTTGTTTTATTTAATTGCTATGTCTAACTGCAGAATGAAAAAAGCAACACCTGTATGCCCTTTTTCTGGTTCCTTTGAAGCATCCCTGAAAATAATTTTTATTATTATTCCGATATAGATCTATATTGTTTTGTAGTATTTTGCACTTTAGCTGCAGACTGGTGTCTATGGATGGTAACACAAATTTCCATGGTGGTATCTCTGATATTAAAACAGTAGAACTGGTTTTGTTATGCTCCCAACATTCCTGTAAAACACCTTTTGTCAGATGTAAATTATTATGTCCTTTGAGATTTACCCAATATGGCAACATATTTTTCAATTTTCTTATCCTTAACGGCACCTAACCTATCTCAACTTGTATTGCTGCAACTGGTGTTCAAAACGTTTTAAATGCTCCACTGCAGATCAGAAGAGCCTGAGCTTGTTCGTCATCTATTTTTTTTAAATTGGTTTCTTCAACAGACATGTAAACTATGCTTCCATAATCTTGAGCTGCTCTCATAAGAGCCCAATAAATATTTAACAGTGCTGTACTGATAGCTCCCCAATCTTGCCGCGACACACATCGTAACATATTACTTATCTTCTTGCATTTGTTTTTGACTTTATCTATATGTGTGCACCAGGTAAGTTTCTCATCAATGCTAACTCCAGGCAATCTGACCATATCAACCTGTTCTAGTGGCTGTCCATATAATTGAATTTGTACTGGTTTGTGGCATTTAGTGAAACAAATGACCTGTGATTCTTTTATTGACATTTTAAAACCCCATTTCAGTCAGACAACTCACGTTCAAATGTTTATTGCAGCAGTAGAACATAATTTGTGTTTGGTGTCTAGGCTCCGACTTAATCACTCTGTCATGTTTTGGAGGGAGTGGGTAAGGGAGCAGGTGGACCCAAAAAGGCAGAACAAAAGGTTTTAACAAAAAAGTGTCCTTTAATAATTAAGGTAGGGCATCAGACAAAATCCAAAAACAGCAGTAAATTAAAAAATGCTCTTCAGCACAAACAGGGGAGACACTAAAGAACTTACTGGAGGAAGAAGAAACAACGGTGAAGTGGTGAGATGACATAGTACGACAACGAGCCGACAAAGACCAAGGCAGGCACAGAGACTTAATGTAGAAGTTTGTTTTTTTTCAACCTGGACCTTATTTCCAGCATATGGTATGTAGATCTACTCACCCATAAAGGTTTGGTCGTCAGCTGTGCCGGTGACGTCACCCCAGTGAAAGCCCAGGATGTAAACAAAGCAACTTGGACTCACAGGGGACTAGTGCTGGAAATTCATAGTAAATAAAGAGTTTCGCAGCAGATAATGCGTTATTTAGAGGCTGTATTGTGGATGCCCCAATCACTTGCGTTGTATGGATATACGGCGATCGCGTGTGGATCTAAAAGCATCTGAAGGACTCCAAGTTACTCCAAACCTTTATGGGTGAGTAGATCTACATACCATATGCTGGAAATAAGGTCCAGGTTGAAAAAAACCAAACTTCTACTTTAAATACACACTGAACTAATGACAAACTAGAGACAGGTGGCACAGGACAAACCGGTGAAACTGGCGAGTCCAGGTGGAAAACACACAAGGAGCAGAAACAAAAAAATAAAACAGGAAACAGAGAGGAACACAGGGTGAAGCACAGCGTGGAACACAGCGTGGAACACAGGGTGGAACCCAGAGTGGGACACAGAGAGGAACAGAGCAGGACACAGAGAGGAAAAGAGCGGGACACAGAGACAAACAGAGTGGGACAAGGAAAACACACCAGGAACAAAGCTACAACATAAAACTGAAAACTCAGAAACACAAATCCAAACATATGAAAAACACTGGTAGACACAGATATAATAATATAAATTAAAACTCTCTTTTCATAAGAGGACAAAACACAAGGACATGACAGAACCCCCCCTCAAGGACTGGATTCCAGACGGTCCAAACATGAAACTGAAATGGGACCAAACAAGAAACTGAGACGGGTGGGAGAAGGGAGGTCTGTGAAAGAGCACAGGGTCTCAGCCCGGAGGCTGGTCAGAGACAGAGCACTGGGGCTCAGGCGGGTGGCCTGGAGGCAGATGAAAGCCAGAGCCCGGGGACTAAGGTGGGCGGCCCGGGGGCTCAGGTGAGCGGCCAGAAGGCCGGTCAGAGACAGAAGTATGGGGCTCTGGAGAAAGCACCTGCTTTAGCTGTCCAGATATAGGGGGTATGGAGGGAGTTAGCAGCTGTCGCTGCACAGGGCGGAACACAGAAAGAAACACAGAATGGGACACAGAGCGGGACACAGATGATTGAATCTCGGGTTGGCTGCCTGAACTAGCTTGCAGGGTTAACTCAATTTATTGGACCAGTCCTTCACTTTATTTACTGCAGTTTGCATTTTATTTTGTGAGCACTCCAAATTTCGCCCCCTGACCCAGAGTGCTCCATCATCTGCATAAATTGATTTTCCTATGCTTTGCTCATATTGATTAAAAATATAATTAATCATTATATTAACAAATATTGGACTACATACAGACTACTACAGCTTGTGGGGTTCCATTTATTACTGAATATTTGTTGGAATATTATGTGCCCATTCTAACTTCTATTGTTCTTCCGAATAAGAACTTTGACACCCAGTTGAACAATTTACCCTTTAACTCTTATTCATGAATTATATATCATCATATCATCTGCTTTTTCAATATGTAAGAAAACAGAAATAATAATTTTTTTATTGGTTTGGGATTTTTGATTGCTGATTCTAGACATAAAACAGAATCCATTGATCCTTGTCCTTTCCACTTGGATATCCTGAGATTAAGTTTTTGCCGTCTAGATGATGTGTAAGCCTCTCTATAACCATCCGTTCCATGGTTTCCCTAACTGGGATGTTAGTGCTATTGGTCTCTAACTTGATGGATTTGATTGATCTTTTTCCTAGATTAAGTATTGGAAATATAACTGATTGCTTCCAACTTGTTTGGGTTTTGCCCATATATCATTAAATAATCTTCACACTACTTCAAGTGTGCCATCATTCATATTATCTAACATCCTGAAACATACTTCATCTTTCCCTGGGCATATTTGTCATGCATTATAAATGGCTCTCTTCAGTTCAAAAATACTGAAAGTTAAAGCCAAGTCCTCCTTTGTTACAGCCCTTTTACTATTCCTGGCTTTTGTGAGTATTTACAATGCTTTGTTTAGCTTTTTCTGAGCTGTGAATCTGAACAAATGCTTTTGCTAAAAGTTCTGCCTTTTCTGCATTATTTATTGCATATATGTTATCACACTTAGCACTGGTATTTCAAAATGTTTTTTTATATTATTTTTTTTGGACTTCCTCTGTGCCTCCAATCCAATATCATCGACCTGCGGAGTTGGAGAGCCCCTTGACCCATTTTAGAACTATGCGTGAGCCACCATTTTAAACATACCCACTCAGAGAAGGAAATTGAAAATCTAGCATTTGTATCAGGGGCAGCTGGCCAATAGGGGGCGATGGGGTGCTGCCCTCCCAAAGAAAACAAATATGCTGCTGATAAATTGTGTTAATTATCATTATAATCGTCATTATTATTTTGAAAATGAAAAACGAATAATGGAAATTATACACATTCTCGAGAGTTTGTCCTGCCTGCTGCCTCTGTATATTAGATAATGTTGAGAAGTCTCCTGGTGTTGGATGAGGAGTTCCTTCCAGCCATGAACCCAGTCTGGTCTGTGGAAATTAGAGTAGGTAGGACTTGCTTCAGATGAGTGGCTAGGACTGTGGCGAGAATCTTTTGGTCCACATTTAAAAGTGAGATGGGCCTATAATTGTTGCATTCAAGGGGGTCCTTGTCCTTTTTTAATAAGAGAGAGATATTGGCTTCTGATAGGGTTGGGGCAATCTGCTGCTATTAAAGGATTTGCTGTAGACATTAACCAAATGTGGGGTTATTAGTATTGAATATGCTTTATAAAATTCTACTACAAACCCGTCTGGGCCAGGAGACTTGCCATTCTGTAGCTGCCTAATCGCCTCCTGTACTTCCGCCACTGTGATCGGTGCGCCCGATTTATCAGCCAGATTACTTTCAACTTTGGGATATAAGAGCTTTTCCAGGGGATTATGGTTTTTCCAGATTTCTGGTGAGTACTCTGAGGTGTACAGGTTAGAGTAGAAAGTCAAAAACCTATCATTTATCGATTTGGGGTCAGTGATCACTGATCCCGATGGCAATTTTATCCTGGGGATCAGTCTGAAGAGAGCTGCAGTTCTAGCTTGATGGGCAAGGAGTTTGCCCGCCTTATGTCCCATTTCAAAATAACGTTGCTTTGTTTTTAATAATTTTGTTTCAACCTTGAAAGTTAACAGAAGGTCAAATTCAGCCTGGAGTTTAAGACGTTGGTCATAAAGAGAGGGGGTAGGGGCAGCGGAAAATTGCGTATCGATACTGACTAGTTGATCTGAGAGCCAGACCATGTTCTCTGTGTCTGCTTCTTTCTGCCA